TCATGACTATGCATAGCTTTTGTCAAAATACTCAGTCTATTATAACCTGCTGTCCAAGCAGAATTTCTGTAATATTTTATTTCTACATTAAGAATGGAAATGCAAGAACCTGTCTTTCTTTGGAAATCAAATATTTCTTTTCTTTGAAATTTCTTCTACAAAATGGAATTTTTAATACATCAGCTATAATGCTTTTGTTTTTCAGATTAGACATATTATTCAATAAGTTTTCAAATACTTCAAAATGTAGAGAGAAAACAAAATCTGGAAAAAAACACAGATGAAAATTAGCAAAGTTCGAAAACAAATGATAAATAATATGCAAGCCATGCAGATAAGTGAGTGTGTAGTTAGGCAGCTTATATAAAGTGTTCTTGTGGGGGCTTCACAGACACAAGCAACCGAAGCTGAAATTCACTGCTACATCACAGAAACCAGTAAAAGAATTTTGTCTAAATGTTCTGAATGTTCAGTTTTATTCGAACCTCATTTAAGGACTGAGCAGTAGCATGAAGGAAACATGAACTGACATTCGGTTGACGACTTTGCTGAGTCAGCTGCATATTCACATATAAATAATTTTGTCTTCCCTAACTGGTTACGACTTAAACCCAGTCAACAGGTGAGAAGGGTATGAATGACTATTATGCCTTTACGACAGCAATAACCACTATAGAATACTATGAACGTGCCCATAAAGGTACCCATTTTTAATAAATAGGAAACTGATGACTTGGTTGTCATAGCAACATTTTTTCACAAATGTATGCTGCTGGGTAACCTGTTCATCGACCTTTAAAGCCTAGTTAAAACTGTGGATATGAAAGTAACATTATGACTAGTTAGTTACGTTGAACAATGAAGTACATATTAATGTCATGTACAGAAATTTTAATAATTACAATATATTCACAATTAGGATTAACTGAAAACTTTTATTAGCAATTAGTTATACATTTTCTTTAGCCCAAGCACTGCTTGGAATGCTGGGGTGAAATGCGCGTTATTGCAAGAAAAAATTTTAAAAAACACAACAAGAATTATTTTAAGCATGACAGTCTTTAAGTATAAATGATAAAACAGAGAAATGAAGAATATAATGCACTGCTTTTATCTACTGTAAATTGTAAGAAATTTGAAGCTCAAGCTGATAATATCAGCATTGACAGCTGAACCAATTCCTTTCTCAAATAGCTCCAGGTGTAGTACATGTGAAACTTTCTAAATCAGTCACAAATTCCCCATTACGCTTGATAGGAAGATGATACTTTCTTATTAAAATTTAAGTTAAAACAGTCATCTGATAATTTTCAGAAACCTTACAAATATGAAAAGTTTGTAGATAAACAACTACACAAAATCTACAATTAATGAATTTTAGTTTTCATTCCCAACTGAAATCCACTAGAAGCAAGTGTTTGCATCTTTGTACCATATTTCAAGTAATTTGCTGAGACACTTTTTGCAGACACATTGTGCAATAACATCATTTGGTTTATATTATCAGCACAGCTATGGGAAAACATTATTACTAAGCAGCACCTATTGTACAATTAACTTATTACATGAAACATGAGATTTAAAGTTAGATTATTTGAATATGGCAAAGCAGGAGATGATTATTTGCCTAAGAAAAGGGATGCCTTTATAGAAGACGTTTTAAGCAAAATTTGCTCATCACATTATACACAGGGATAAAATTAAACATGCAGCCAGCCCATCTGCCTGAGTTTGAGCTACCAGGATTCAGCAGCCTTAACCATTCATGCTCAAAAAGTGACAGAAGGGACGGCTTACAGCTACCATAGGTCACAGGGCATTCCTGTTCTTTCCACAGGTGGCACCAGACTTATGCAGCAGCTCTCTTCACTAACACAATACTTCTCTGGACACGGTCCATTCCCAGCCCATGTCTACTTCTTCAATACTATGACACAGATCTTTGCATATGCAGTAGAGAAGAACAGTGGACCACAACATATTTGACTGTACACAGGCATCAAGATACCACCTTTAAAAAAAAAAAAAAAAAGCTTCTGCAAACTGGTCAGTGTGGGTCACTAACAATAGTAGTAACAGACTTGCACAAAATAAAATTTGGCTCAATCATTACATACTGTACCACTGCCTACTCAGCCATGTCAAGCCATATGCAGCCTTCCCCAAACATGTGCACAATAAAAATTTTTCACAGCAAAACAGTGGTCCACTCCTTCTCTATGTTCAATGTTGTTACCCATATTCAATTTTGTACACAGTTCTATATTGATATGTATTATAGTACATATCAATACAGAACCAAAATTCAAACCAATGCCAACTTTTTTTTCCCCTATTCAGTATGGATTCTTTTACATGCCTTGTGCATGCTCATATGATACTTTTCCATAATAAAACACGTGAAGAGTCTGGATTCTTAATTTTTCTTTTGCAATAAATAAAATTCCTTCATATTGAAAAAACAGTCATTTGTTAGTATGAATTCGTATGATCAATTATTTGGCTTCATAGCCATCTTTTTGTTTGACATACATCTCAGACTGAAACATTCCACATTTAAATATCATTGGTACTAAGATCATACCTTGGTTTTTGAGTTCCAGAGCGTAAATAGTTTATATCCCTGATGCCAACCTGGCCAATCATTGCTTGTTATTTTCTTCTCTTATTACCATACGAGTATAAGGACATGAAAGCTTGAGAAAAGACTCACACAGCGATGTCTAAACTTTTTTTTAAACATTAGTAATTGAATATCAAAGAGCATGGTGACCTTTTATGCTGGTTTAGTGATGATAACAGAATTCAAACTCCGCTTTGAAGTACTAAGTGTATTGAAGGAGAAATTTATCAAAAATTTCTTTCTATGTGCAAAGAATAGAATTTGTAAATAATTTTGTAATACTCATAGGACAAAAAATTACATTCACTGCTGTTTGAACTGAAAATAACTGATTTGTTATTCAGTTACACCAGAACTGATATGAAAGCTGATGTAGCCACACCCGGGTAGCAGAATTTATGGGAGGTAAAATATTTAAAATTTAGAGAATCAACAACAAAATTAGCAAAATTCTTAGAATTTTGAAAAGGCTCTGGGATGTAAAATTTAAGAGTGGCAAAATGTTTAGAATTTAGGGAGGTACTTGGCAGTGGAATTTAGGACCTGCACAGACTGTACCAGGCCACAAAATTTCTATCAATGGCTATGAATAAGTCATTAAGTATGAGTGGAAATTTATTTACTCAGGATTCACATAAACCTTAAGCATGGGTGGGAAGTAAGCATAAGTATAATAAATAACTAATACATTTAAGGCTTAACTTTGCCAGTGCCCAATAGAAGCAAGATAAAATTTGGTGAAACAACATGTCTTTAGCAGTCAATCTCATGATATAGGAGACACTAGCTAAGCTTTATGACGGCAGTTGGAAATTTGAAATTTTCAGATATTATAAACAAAAAGCAAAATTTCTAATTAATATAATTTGTGAAGAAATGCAGAGAAGTGGTAATAATAAATAAAGATGGTACAACAGAAGTTTTTTATTGCACTGACAATGCCCCGATCATCAATCAACTACACGAAATCTGTAGTATGGTTCTAAATACACAAAATATCACTACCAATCATGAAGAAAGTGACTGAAAAAGGTTGTTGAGAAATGAAAAAATTTTGTTTGAGAATTTAGAAGGAATTCTCAGTGCAGCATTTACAGGACTTGAATAATGGAACTCTGTAACTGAAAAAGAAATTATGCCATCTATAAAATTAAAGAGAAAGTATTAGTACAAAAAATTAAGCAAATTAAACAACTTACATTGAATGAAACATTTAATAAAAGCAAACAAATAAATATAAAGCTTTTTCTTTTTTTAATGAACTTTGATTCCTTTAATCTTACACATTGTTCGTTATTTCATAAATCACAATTTTATATTTTTAATTTTATAATTTCTACATGCCATCTTACTAGACTCAAACTGATGATCAAATATTAGGAAAAATTCTAAATCCGAAATCACTGAAGTCCCACTAATTCTGGATCTCAGACATTATACTGCCTTTTTCAATTTGACTACTTATTTATCAACAGCCCATATGTTTAAATAATGTCTCCTCCTGCATAAGCGTATGCATTAGCTGCAATTTAACTCATCCATACAATGCTGTTATAAGCTTTTCTTTCTTTGACAGCTCAAAGTAATGCATGTGCTGAAACCAAAGTGTCATGTCATTATTAACTAGTTTCCAAGCTATATGCAGTAAGTGCAAAGGAACACATCTTGCTGTCAGAGCTCTAATATCTTCTGATAAGTTGGAATTTAAACTCCATATGGCTAACACTAATGGACAGAGGCCAACTCAAATGGTGACCAGTCTTAAACACTTGGCCACTGGTAAAATTCAAGAATTTAAAGAATTTAAAACACAAGTATATTCAGATGAGCTTGAAATAATGGCTGCTTTTCTAAACAATATTGCTTAGTTTAAAAAACACATATGAACAACAATAAATGGTATATATTATACCACTGAAAGCTTTGACAGCTCTTTATTTAATAAACTATCAGTATTTGACCCACTTTTTTTGTCCCAGCAATTTAACTGGAAGCTCTATTTAGAAAGTTTTAAGTACAAACTTTCTACAGGCAATTGTTTCAATCTGTTATTCTTTTACCAACCACATTCAGCTTACCATACTGTGTCTTTTAACATACATTTTGTAACATATAATAGTTAATTTACAGCCTTGTTCATAAAAATGAAACATAGCTTACTGAGAATCAATCAGGTTTATATCAAACCAAAGCACAGAATGTTATACTTGCATTGTTACATTATTCTTATCCATAAATGGTGGTAAATCACCCTGCTTAGCAACTGTTTCACAGTTGATGGGATAATATGTAAGTACTCAAATAATAAAATATCCACTAGTTATATTCAATTAAAAAATCAAATATAATTACTTCAAATCAATTTAGATAAAAATACCATGTTCCTTTAGGGCCCATATATACAAACTGGTAATCATCATTTTCATGTTCACAGAATTCATTTAACCAGTCAGAGCTGAAGTATGATGGAGTACTGTAAGCATTATATTCAGGATAATCTCTATAATTAAAAAGAATATTTTTGTCACCATAAAAATATGCTCATTTTAATCAATGAGAATAAAAATGTTCATTATATGGTCATTACTAATTGAGTATTAAAACAAAAAATTTTAAAACTCCAATAATTTTAAATATTTGGTTAAATAGACTGAGGGGAAAAAAATCCCAACACTAAGAAGGATTTGTGCTAGATAAACGAAATTTGGCAGGCATGTTTATATATCTGAAAGATGACGTCTAATTCAAATCTCGCGCTAGGTGAATAAGTGTGGCACTAGTAGCGCCACTATGAGCATGCAAATCAGGCTTACTTTAAATATGTGCTGTAAAGTTTGTGAGCATTATTTATCATTATAATTTGATGTTAGTCAAGAATGACTTTAAGAAGAACAAAAAAGCTATTATCAGCAGCTCAGTGAATTTGAAAGAGGTAATGTAATAGGCATATGAGAAAATGGATTTTCTTTCTGTGATATTGCAGAAAGACTTGGCAGAAATGTACCTACTGTGAATGATTGTTGGCAGCAGTGGTAAAGGGAAGGTACTGGTTCAAGAATTACTGAGTTCCGGGCAGCTACGTGGCTCTGACTGAGAGAGAAGACCGCTGTACTCGGCATATGACTGTAGCACATTGTACTGCATCTGCAGCAGAACTGAGTTACCTACAACAAACTGTTACAAATTGGTTACTGAAAGGAGTGCTCTGAGCCAGATGCCCTGTAGTGTGCATTCCACTGACTCCAAACCATTGTCATTTGTGATGTCAGTGGTGACAAGCTAGAGCTCACTGGAGGATGAAGTGGAGATCTATTGTGTTTTCTGGTGAAACCCGGTTCTGCCTAGGTGCCAGCGATGGTCGTGTGTTGGTCAGGTGAGTGACTACAACCAACCTGTCTGTGGCCTAGATACACTGAACCTACACCTGGGGTTATGGTCTGGGAAGCAATTTCGTATGAGAACATGAGCACTCTTGTGGTTATCCCTGACTGCAAATCTGTACTTGAGTCTGGTGATTCAACCTGTTCTGCTACTATTCATGAAAAGTATTCAAGGGGATATTTTCCAACAAGATAATGCATGCCCTCATACCGCTGTTGTAACCCAACAGGCTCTACGGACTTGACATGTTGCCTTGACCAGCTAGATCACCAGATCTTTCTGTAGTCGAGCACATATGGGAAAAATTCAGCATCATTCATAACCAGCATTAACTCTCTCTGTATTGACCAAACAAGTGCAACAGAAATGGAACTCCATCCCACAAATTGACTTCTGACATCTGCATAACATAACACATGCATATTTGCATTCAAAATTCTGGCGGTTATGCCAGTTATTAACATACCAGCATTTCAAATCTGAAATGGTTCTTCTTGCACTTGCATTAACCTGTGATCTTGAATCAATTAAAAATGTCACTCAGACAAATGTATTGCCAAAATTTCATTACTCTACAATACTTTTTTCTTGGTGATAGGATTTTTTTCCCCATCAGTGTAGTTAGGGAAATAATTATAAAAAATCCATTTCCAAAATTATTCACACTGCAAGAATATTACTCTCCTTATAAGTGTAAAATATATAGTAAACTTGGGAACTGAATTATCAGATTTCTTTTATACTAAAAAAGGACTAAGCAAGGACTAGCCCTTTCCTACCAGCTGTTTAATATTGCCCTTGAAAAAGCAATAACAGACTCGAGTGTACAGACACAAAAGACTTTATTCATAAAATCTGTGCAGTTATTGGCCTTTGCTGATGACACTGACATTGTGAGAAGAAAGAAGGCAACAATATACGCCTTTTGCATGCTTGAGTCAGTAGCAAAAAATATTGCTTTGACCGTCAATGAAGAAAAAACCAAGTTCATGATGACAAAGAGATGACATAACATGATATCGCTGAAAATAAATTACTATGTTTTTAAGGAGGTAAAAAATTTTAAATATTTGGGTACAATTGTAAATAATAATAATGATATAACTATTGAATCAAGACCCAAATTCACATGGTTAACAGATGCTATTATGGATTATGAAACCAGTTTAAATCAAAATACTTCAGCAGTAAGACTAAAATACAATTGTATAAGACTATACACTGCTGTATGGAAGTGAGTGCTAAACAATGAATAAAGCAGATGAGGATAGAGTAATAACATTTGAACAACAGATTTTGAAAAGAATTTTTGGGACAGTAAGGGAAAATGGAAGGTAGAGAGTAAGATATAATTTTGAAGTACAGCAAAAATTTAGAGAATCAAATATAATAAAAGTTATTAAAGCCTCTCAACTAATATTGCTAGGCCATATATTCAGATATGAAGATGAAAACCCAGTGAAGAAAATGACATTCCAAAAGTCAGAAGGAAAGAGAAGGAGCTTTTAAATTGAAAGTCACAGAATTTGCACAGGAGAATGGAAAAAGAGCAGCAGCAAGAGTATATAAGATGGACGAAAAGTGTGTGCGTAATAGGAGCAAACAGCGTGATGAACTGGTGGCAATGAACAAAACACGATGTGCATTTCGTGGTTTGAAATGCAAGTTTCTGAACTTACAAAAAATAATAAATGCATATGTTTTTGATAGGCATGCTCAAGGGTACACATTAGCATGGGAAATGTACCAAATAAGAGAGCTTGCTGCAGCACGAAAAGAAGACATTCCTACATTGCAATTCCAGGTGTGTAGAGGCTGGTTGCGGTGAAGGATGAAACAAAATGGATTTTCATACAGTGTGTCAGAACAGATTCTTATAAAAAATAATGTGTGCAAGATATTTAAAAAAATTTTTTTATTTAATTTGTGTAAAAGTAAATATTATAATTGCAAGTGTTAGTTAATTTGTGCCTCTATATTGTGCTCCTGTGCGAACTACAGTATAAAGTCCATAATCTTGACGTCCATTATCTGGACTTCATAGCCACAAACATATGCATGCACTTCATACGTGTTTGATGCATGCATCCGCTACGCATGACCATAAAGCTATAAGCGTTTACCCATGCACACTTCCGATAGTGAAGAAAGTAACACAGAACGTTATTGAAAACAAAAAAATTTCAATTGACTAGTTAGTCAGTATTCTCGACACAGCAATTACAGGACTTGAACAGTGGAACTTTGTAACTGACAAGAAATTATATCTGGTTATAGAATTAAAGAGAAAGTATATCACAAAACGAGCAACTTACATTGATAGAAATGTTTACTAAAGTAAACAAATAGATATTAAACTTTTTTTTTTTTGTAAATTTTGGTACCCTTTAGATCATAATAGCTCTTTATTTTATAAATTATGGTTTCAAATTTTTAATTGCATAATTTCAGCATGCCATCTTACTAGATTTAAATTGGTGATCTATAATCTGGAAGAACCCCTAATCCAGAAACGTCAAAGCCTCAACAAGTCCGGATTACGGACTTTGTACTGTAATATGTGCCCATGGTTGATAACATAAACGGGGTAATTTATATTATATACTAGGTGTACCCGCCCGGCGTTGCCCGTGCATTTAGAAAATGCAGATAAGTGAATAGCGCAGGAATAGTAGTGTAGGCATTAGACTTTCTCTCTTCCCCCCCCACAATCTACAAAAAAAATGAATTGATTATCGATTTATGTAAGCGTCAAAACAGCAACTAATGCTAGAATAAGAATCAATTGTTACAATCGAACTTATTTGAAGACATAATAATATCAGTGAGCAAAAAAACCGTGATTAATTAATAAACAAATTTTTTAAAAAATTTCTTAATTCCAAAAATCGAAAATGGGCTTCGAGGTCTGGTGGCCAGCCCTTTGTGCTTCCGTATAAAAAATTCCCGGGCCCTGCGTGCGATAGATTTGCTTGAGAGCTCGTCAGACAGACGACAGACACTTCACTTTCTTTTTATTATTATTATAGATGTGGATGGGAGAAAGTGAGTTTGTAAATTTTAGGTAGCTATTAAACAACTTTAAATTTCATACTTTTATTACTTATGCCATTTTCTTCCCCTTAGAACTAACTTAACTGTTTAAAATGAAATTTACACCCAAAATTACTCAAGAAAAAAGCGCGACATTTGAACGATCCATGTAATGTCCGCACCCACATTTTAGTGATGCAATTTTAGTAAAAAAAGTGCAGACACTAATGTATGTGCTATATATATCATGCAAGGGTGCAACTTCCCCCCCCCAAAAAAAAGGGGATGTTGAAAGGCATTTCAAAAGCATGCATGGCAGTTTTGATACATATTTCCCGTTAAAAAGCGAATTGCATAAACAAACATTAAAAGAATATAAATCGCAATTAATCGAACAACAATCATATTTTATCAAACCAAATACTATATCTAAGACTGCAAAAGTTGCATCTTTTCATGCGAGCCATCTGTTAACAAAACATTAGAAACCTTTCGCAGATGGAGAAATAATAAAAAAATGCATTTCTGGAAGCCAGCGATTCACTGTTTGATTCATTCAAGAACAAAAATGAAATTATTTCCACAGTTAAAAAGGTAAAACTTTCGTGTAGAACTGTTACGTACCATATAGAAATGATGAATTCTAATCTGGTTGATCAGCTAACTGAAGCTATTACTAACTGTATTTGCTTTTCCTTGCAGTTTGATGAATCTACGGACATGGTTGATATTTCTCAAATTTGCATTTTTATAAGAATGGTTTTTAAAGATATGAATGTTAAAAAAGAATTACTAATATTATTACCTCTAAAGAAGAAAACATGAGGTGAAGATGTTTAATGCTTCTTCAAAAAATACATAGAGGAGGGGAAAAAATCCAATTTATAAAGTTGTATAGATGACAACTGATGGGATCAATGACCAGTACAGTCAATGGATTTTTTGCTATGTGTATCAGAAATGATGACTTACAGTATTTCCTTTCGTACTGCATTATTCACCAACAGGCCCTCTGCTGTAAAATTCTAAATATGCGTCATGTTATGGGAATTTACATGAAAATTCTGAACTCAGTTTGAAGATGAAGTCTTC